CCCCAAAACCCCAAAACCCCAAAACCCCAAAACCCCAAAACCCCAAAACCCCAAAACCCCAGTAGGCAACAGAGGAATTGAAACTATTTTGGCAATAAAAATGAAGTTGATTAAGAGAAAATACTGTACTTAATCTAAGAATCACTCTCTTCCTTCTTGAAATATGGGGTAATCTGATCTCTAAATTTCTGTCCAGGTATCTTATTAGATGGTTGACGGATCCTTAACCCTTCAAACCTTGTGGATGAAGCTTTTGTTCCAAGTTTTTTTGATATTAAACAAGGGGGTACCGACTTTTCCTTCACTTCTTCAGCACTCTTTTCATCTTCCTTAATAGCTCCTCGGTCTCCCCCGCTAGGAGAGACTGACTTCTGGCTTTTCTTGGGGATCTTCCTAGGCTTCTTCTTCACCTTTTTCCTTGACTTGATCTGTTTTGTATTTGCCTTCTTCAATCTTGGCAGCAGCGAGGTGGCCGAGGCTAGATTTTTAAGTCAGGAATTTAGGGGTTTAGGGAAATGGGATGGATGAGTGTTAGAGATTTGGAAAACTAAAATTTTTCTTATTTTTACCTTTATTTAAGTAGCCTTCTGAGGCTTTGGAAAAAGCACTAACTTTACTCCTTTTGTCCATACTAGTGGAATTCCTTGGGTTTTCTGAAGACTGATAAGGGGGTTTTAAAAATTTGGCAGATCCTGCTACGTTATTCTCGTGGAAGTTGTACTTTTTATTTCTTACTACAGAATTTTGAGAAAAAAGGTAGCAATTTTTTATAAACTTACCACTGGCAAAATTTAAGGGTGAATCATCAGATTTAGAATTGCAAACATCGACTCGCTCCCTGAGAGCTTTTAAAAAGATGTCCATTTCATGTTTATTTAATTGCTCCTTTACCTCCTTTAATGCAGGAGATATCATTTTTATTAACTTTAGCATAATAAACTATGTTGTTAGTGCTAACTTTGGCTGTCTTTGTGTCTTCTAGCTCATCGGGAATATCCTATAGCGTAAGATAATGCAAAAATCTTTTAATGGGCAAAAGCAGCCGGATTTAGCCTTTTGAAATATCTGTTAGATCTCTTTGAGTAGGACTTCAAGAATCGAAAATTTAAAATAAGATTTTGAGAACAATTTTTATTTTATGACAAATGATTGATACAACTACTTTAATACTTTTTGCTAAAAAATTCGATAGTCTACACAAACAACAAATTGAAAATAATTCCGTCCAAACACCAAATTTTGCTGTCCTCAAAATCTTCTCCACAGCAAATCTCGACCAATCCCTGCCCCTTTTTTCCCCAATTTCGCTTCCTTATCTACCCATTTTTCAGAACATCCCCTTCACAGTCAAAACTCCTTCCTGCACCAATTAGTCTCAACACCTCTAAAAATCCCAAACACCCAAGCCCTGCACAACTTACAGTATCTTCACATACAAATCAAGAGTCCATTTCTTATAGTAGAAAATTTCGAAAGTTTATATATAACTTTTATAAGATTTGGGGTTTTGGGGTTTTGGGGTTTTGGGGTTTTGGGG